TATTAGGAAATAGTTTCGGGCCGCTGCTGTAAAAAAAAGTGAGGCGCGAACCGGAAAAGCCTCTGCCGATCACGATTCGACCACGGATTATGAAAGAATGGAAAACGCTCGAAACGCACGGATTCTTCCTGATGTAAGAGGTGAGTCTATTCTTTCTTTTGGTAGTTTTGCCGTTGACATCATCATAGAGTGCAACGTTCTGTGACTCTTAAAAAAACTGTGAAAATGATGGAGCGAAGGGCTTTTCTGATCAGGAAACGGCTGGCAGTGAATGAGTTAAGAGTTGTCTAGAGGCACTTCACAAAGTAAACATTCCAGTTGAGTTTGGTTCATTATGTCAATCAGTTAAAAGTTTACTATGTAAGAAAACCCTACAGGCTGCAATGTGTCACTGACTTTACACCAATCCTCATACTAAACAAGCATGTAGCGACAGTGGAGAGAAAAACTCCCTTTTACCAGGAAGAAACTTCCAACAGAACCTGGATTAGAATGAGCAGCTGTCTGCCATGACTCAGTGGGGGTTTGAGTTGTAGATGGTCGTCTGATGATGACTTTCTTTGAGTTTTATTCAAATTTCTGCAGTGGTTCGTGGGGTATTTATCCACGGCAGGAAGATTGTGCCAATTTGTGACCAAATTTTTCCATTCCAGCAATCTTAAACATGTGATCGCTTACAGCAATGGCTCTAAAGATAATCTTATCAGATGTTCCTGCCATGTGTGATGTGTTAAGAGTGCCAGGATCTCTTGCATTGTAAATCCAGGCTTTTAAACTAGTTGGATTGTTTTGTTCTTGGTTTCAATGACAAATGGACGTGTACCCAATCAAAAAGCGACGAATCATGCTTCTCCTCCGCCATGTTTGTTTACTCTGAAGTCACTTTTGATCTTGCAAGATGTCCAGTCTGGCTTGGGATGTTCGTGTGTGAAATTGGTCTATTTGGTGTGTGGTGGTGTGTCTGGTAAAACTGGTATATCTGGGATATTTTTCACTACCACATGTGGGGTCCTCTCGAGCTTGGAAACTGTTCGGATAACTTAAAAATCTTGCAGTGTGAACCAGACTTAAGACTACAGACAAATGTACAGGCGGAGGCAAAACCAGTTCACCTTTTTTCTTTGAATATCACAATCTAGTGATATCCACCAACATCACTGAAAACAAAGAGTCCACTAGGTGTTTACATTGTTTATAATATAAGCTGCTAAAAATATGGCAAGGTCACGAGGATATCTGAAAATGTAAGAAATCTTTTGAAGAAAAGAAATGATTACATTTCTTGAAAGGTAAGTGAAAAGTCCATTACTCAAAAGAAACTCTTGCAGACTTAAATAAGAGTCATCAACTGAAGGCGTTTCCTGCGTCTACACCACAAAACTCTTAAGTTTAAAAGCTGAAAATGAGCACGTATGGAATGCACGTCTTGTGAACTAATGAAGGGAAAAAATAAATTTTATGGCTGCAATAAGCCAAGGTAAGCTAGGAGAAGAAAACGCTGCAGCCCTTCATGGAAAAAACTTTCTGTTAGGCAGCGAGGTGAGTTGGCCATGCACTGGCACGGGGAATGTTTCCCTAGAGCAGGGGTTGGGAACCTTTTTGGCTGAGACAGCCATGAAAGCCAAATATGTTGAAATATATTTCCCTGATATATATATATATATATATATATATATATATATATATATATATATATATATATAATTATTATTATTATTTATTTATTTATTTATTTATTGTTAAAGGGACTTTATGGAGTTTTGAATTTTTATTCTCGCGATTGTCCCCTCAGGCCAAAAGCTTAACGGCAGCTTCAATAGTAGGCTCGTGCACGAGGCGCGCATGCTATACGTGCACACTCCTTAACGAAAATAACAGCTGAGACAGTCCCGTGTGTGTGTGTGTGGCCCGGAGGACAGAGGACAGGAGAATGTGCAGCTAATTAATTAAATAATTTGGTTCTGTACCTTTCTCTTCAGCACAGCCGACAAAGGTTTAAGATGGGTCAGTCCTCCTGCATGCTCAGATCATTCCCTTCCCGTGCTTGAAAAATTGTTCCAAAATGAAATTTGAACCCACATCTTTTTTATCTGTGAATTCAATGCCGTTCGGCGAGTCTCAAATAAAAATTTGGGCATCTTACTGTAAAAAGGTATACCATTAATGTAAAAGAGAAACTCTAAGTAAACTAGGTTCACATCCGGAATCAATCCCAGGTCTTCTGTACGAAAGTCCGACGTCTAACCAGGTGAGCTAAAGCACCAGTGATATCTTTTGTATCTGTAATATTTATATCCTTAATGACAGCTGAAACAACGTTCAAAGAACGGGTCGGAGCGAAAATGGCTATTTTGTTGCTAATTTGCAGGAAATATCTAGAAGAAAGTAGCTAAGGGTCCTCAGAAATGTAGCTAGGTTCATCACTAGGCGTTAGGAACAGAGACAAAGTCGCTGAGTTGGCACTACCTCTCTCTCTGCTGCTAAAGCTACTGATAGCAAATGCTACGGGCGATGCCTGAGCGTGAACACGCATGAAGCAGCCTGCTCGACCCGAGCAGCTCTCTTTTTCTGTGATTTTACTGAAAAACAGGCAATCACAGTAAAAATGCCAGGGCTCATTCTACAGGACCAGGGCACTGCAGGAGAATGTATGAAGAAGAAATTTATTATTTCTATACATGTTTTGGCTGTCAAACTTCCATAATGCCCCTTTTTAACACCGAATACAACTAAATGTGGGCAATTTTAAATAAGACCAACATTTTCTCATCACCTCTAGCTCATTGATGCCAAAAGTGCCCTTTTTCATCACTTAAGTACGAAAAGGGGGTTTTTCCCTTTTCTGACTGCAGATCCCAATGCAGCATAACACTGACGCGATGGGATATCCGCAGCCCGGGCATCAAACGAGTTCATTGTACCGCACCCGAACCTTATCCTCTTGTTATTTAACCTTCCCCTCACCCCATCCTAACCTTTAACATCTTGCTAGCTAACACTTTACCCTTACAGTGACCAAGCGTTTGTTTCCCACATAAAATTAGTTGGGTTTGGACCTCGGCAACGCGAGGTGGAGGTTAGAAGTAGAGGGTATTTGTAACCTCCCCCTCGCCAGATGGTATGTTCTAACGTTCCCCTAGCCTGGGCGGCAAATCGGAAAATTCACAGTCAGAATGCATGGGAAACAAACCCTTGGTTACTGTATGAGTAACGTTTTAGGTAGCAAGAGGGTTAAGGTTAGGATGAGGGTGAGGGGAAGGTCATAAATAGCAAAACGTTAAGGTTTAGTTGTGGTTAAATGAGCTGGTTCGGTGCAGCAGCAGCAGACATCCCATCGCGTCAGTTTTACGCTGCTTTGGGATCTGCAGTCAGAAAGGAGAAAACCCCGTTTTCGTACATAAGTGACGAAAAAGGGCACTTTTGGCGTCAGGGGTTTGACGCGGAGGGTGGCTGACCAAGCGTTTGTTTTTGACGCGCTGGGAGTGAGAATGTGTTGCTGAAACAGGTGCGGTAGAAAATGGATGGATGTTAAAATGCACGAGAATGTTTTTTATGTTTAACACGGCGGTTTCTGTGACTTATCTGAGAGCAATATGCAGTCATCACAAGAGCCACACACGGCTCGCGAGCCATAGGTTCCCTACCCCTGCCCTAGAGGGTAGCCAACGCCACACCGTTTCAGATTTCGGTGAACAAATAGACGCGCCATCATGGATCAACTGCCTTTTTAGTGAAAAGGACTAGAAGTGTTGGAGAAACGATCCATAATGAACAGAATAGAAATGAAAGTTTGGAGTTAAATTGTGTCGCAGCGGAGCACGCAGACGGGATATTTGTTTACGCCAACAGACTGTTCATGTGTGCTTGATGCACGAGTGTTTGATGTAACATCTCTCTGACATGAGTGTCTGCAGGCGTGTGATGTAAGAGATCACAGCCCCCTGCCGGCCAGCTGTTTGGCCCGCTCATGCCCGTTGATCCGATGCCTAGGAGAGCGCAGACGAGCTCGTCGGCCTCTTGTATTTTTAACTCATTCACTGCCAATGACGACTAAAGTCGTCATTTGCATTTTTTTACTGTTTGAGCGTCGGAACGAGCCCCCGCGCTGAGAGAACAAACATCTCAGCCCTGAAGCTGATCTTCATCCGCATACGTCACAGATCACATGATCAGGAAGCAACACATCCATGTGTTAGGAGATCGTTTTGGGCCGTTCCTGTAAAAAAAAAAGTGAGGCGCGAACCGGAAAAGCGTCTGCCGATCACAATTCAACAACAGATTATGAAAGAACGGATAACGCTCGAAACACGCGGACTCTTCCTGATGTAAGAGGTGAGTCTCCTCTTTGTTTTGGTTGTTTTGGCATCGACATCATGCTAGCGCGCAACGTTCTGTGACTCTTAAAAAAACAGTAAAAACTGTGAGAAACGCTGGCAGTGAAGGCCGTTAGTGATCAGGAAACGGCTGGCAGTGAATGAGTTAATCTCCCTCACACTCAGAACGGGAGATTTCACTCAGGTGTACATGTGATTTAGAGGTTTCCACACTTCCTCATCTTTATCTCCTTCCACCTTTTCTTCCTGCAGATTTTCCTATGCCCTTTCTGTCGTTCTATCCGTCATCTATATCATGCACAAAGGTTGCATAACAACCTTTTCCATTAAAACCCTGAATTTCATTATGAAGTCTTAAGAATGCAGACGATGCTCCGTGGCAGGTAGAAAAGACTCCCCGTGGTCTCGCTGGGCTTTCTTGTTAAGACGGGGCTCCATCTTTGGGATTTTCTTCATTGTTGTGTCGGTGGCTGTATTTAACCTCACGGTGAAAACCTTTTTCTGTGAGGATGATGAAAAAAAAACCTTCGTTTTTCTCACAAGTGCTTTGGAATAATTTATCGTAGCGCATAAAGCCAGGCCTTCACCGCCGTGGAATTTTTGTTCCGCTCCAAATGGGTGGTGAATATTTTAAAACTGAACCCCGTTTAACGTTTTTTATTGCAGGATGGAGTCGACGGAGAAGTGTGAAGTGGTGATACAGCATTTCAACGGGAAGTACCTGAAAACCCCGCCAGGCATTCCAGGTGAGTCCTGCCGCCTCTGCTCTCCTCTTCGTCGTCCGTTTCACAGAAAGCCACCATCTTTGTCCGAAAGAAGCCTCTTTTCAAATTCAATTACAGTAATTTCTCATCTCAGATCAGCGGGACAGCCTGATAGATTGTGTACGCTGTGATGTATGACACCTGAAGCTAATCCTCTTTGTCTCTTTTGAGTATCTGATTATTCTGTAGGACCCTTCTTCCTCTCTCTGTCACCGTCGTCTCCCCTCCCCCTCCGCCGCCCCGGCGGTGCACTCGCTGCAGGCTGGAACTTCTCGGTCAGGAGAAAGCTCTCTTAATATTCACACTCATGCCTCGGCGCTGTTCTTTGCAATCCACTTAAGAGCTCGCACTCTCGCCTCTTTCCTCTTCTGCTCCTGCACTCTGTCGCGGTGTCCTCTCTCCTTCCTGTTCCACGTCTCTGAAGTCACCCTGTAGAGAGAAGAAGAAGAAGTGGGTTAAAGAAAAAAATGAAAGAAAAGTCATGAAGCATGCGTGTCATCAGAGGAACGTGCGGCGAAGTAGCAGTGGAGAGTAAATCTGGGCATGTTGGAGGGTCGAGATGGAGAGGGAGATATGAGATCTGAGAAAGATGAGAGGAAAAATGCTGCTTAAGCACTTAAGGTGAAATTCCCTCGTGTCCCGGCAGGACGTGCGGGCCAGGCAGGGCCAGATCCCCCGAAACTCCTTCGCGTCTGTGGCCATTTTAATATCAGCCCTCACGTCTCCAACCAGCAGCACACAGACACACAACTTGCTCCTCACTAGCCGTTAATATTGCAGGAGGAGTGGATTTAGACGGTCTGTAGATGCGCCAGCAGTGCATAGCCAGCAGCCATTTAAGGCAAGGTGAGCGGCTCCATTGAAGTTTAGCCATAATAGGAAACCTTTAAAGCTGTAATATCAGGCTGACCTTTGCCTCTGAGGGTTGATCTCCCCGCTGCTCAGCCTTTATTATTGTTAATGGATTGTTCAGGCTTTTGCCAAGCGTGGAGATTTACCGCCCTCATGGAGGAAATCCTCCCGTTGAATTAAGAATGCTCTGGTTTACAAGCTCCGCTTTGGTCCATTGTCACTGAGAAGTGGTGCTTTCCTTGTTGGCTCTTGTTTTCTTCTCTTGTTTCCATTCCTGGTTTAACCTAAAAAGGGCCGTAAACAATCCCGGCAGATGACTCCTCCTTTCTTTTGTGCAGTTTTGCAAGTAATTTCAGCAATCTGGGATGGCGATGAAACATTTCTGTACAACGCAGCCGGAGGCAAAGGAGCACGATCAGTCGGATGATCAGACAAGTTAGAAACAGCCTGGAAGCTCAGTCATCAGAAAAACGGCAACACTTAACATAAAAACCAAATGAAAGTGTGTTTCCGTAACAACGTCTCTATTTTCTGCTTCCATTAATGAGTTGGTTTGTCTCTATGGTGTTGCTAAGTGTTGCCACAAATCTGGCATAGACAGTATGAATGGTAGGTGTTTGACTTCCTAAGAACACAGGAGCTTTCTGAGGTTTTTGGTACATTTCTCAGAGTTTAAGTTAAAGAAAACGTTGAAATGAGCTTTTTTTTTTCCTTTGCGTCTTTTAAACGGAGGTTCCTGAACATGTTTTACTCATCGGACTCAGATGCTTCTCTGTGCAGAGCCCTAAGGGTTGTTTCAGTTTAGACACACACAGAAAATACGGCTTTTGCTTGTTTACGTGTGTGCGACATGTATGATTCCACTGCATTTACATGTGTGTCTACATTCTGAATCATGTGTGCAAATTCTCGAATCTGCAATTTGAGACAGTCACATCTCCTTCCTGTCCACTGGCAGAGTCTCTGCCTCTGTGTGTGTGTGTGTGCGTGCGTGTGTGTGTGTGTGTGTGTGTGTGTTATGTTGGTGGGATTTCCCCAGAGCCCTTTGCTACGCGGGCCAGCTTCTCCATCCATCCTGCTCTGACAGCTCGGCGGCCCCCCTCGGGGTCCTCTCACCACGCACGAAACAGCAGGACTGTCTGTACATGCATGTATGCACGTGCACGGGTTTGCTCGTGCGACAACCGTGACTTCTGCTCTGTGTGAAGCCCTGACACAAACACGCACCACATAAGCAAAAATGTTGGTCATGCATTGCTGACTTTGACCTGAATGGAATGTCAGCCTCTATAAAACGGTAATAACTGTTTAGTGTTAAAGCATAGCACGGATTCTGGCCGCGGCTGTGGGAGCACAAAGTTGGCTCGCATGTTCTCAGACCTCCGAATCACCGGGCTGTCGGATGCAGACGGCACTAGCAACGGAGTTTCCAAATTGTTTCATAACATTCCTAACGGGGTCAGTCTCTGGAAATTCTGCATATGTTCCAAAAAAATTTGACAAGGCATTTTTTCTTCAGCTAGTTACAAAGTTGTGGCAGATTTCTAGAACTGTTCTTGGTTTTGTTTCTTCCCATTAGAAAATACAATAAATATGAGACATGGATGATTTTATGTCTGAATATGATGCATCAACATAAATAACGATATCTTTCATTTCCATGTTACGCTCCTGTGTAGCTTTATGAATATGGACGAGACATAATTAAAATGTATGAACTAAATTTAAACAAGAAAACCCGGACGAATGTCACAATTTGTTCACTATTGTAGTTTTTCCACACATGACCTGATTATAAATCAAACTGCTTACTTCCAACTGAAAATTATAATGTTTGTCTTTAATTCATCACCCATAGTTCCAGCCCAGTGAGATTTGGTAATCTTCTTCAGCTAGGGCTGCTCAATTAATCGAATTTTAATCACGATTACGATCCGAGTTTTGAACGATTATAAAAACAAAACAAGCCGATTATTTGCTCCTCCCACTTGCGCTGCCCCGAGTTGCAAATGAAGCGCTCCTCCCACAGTGTTGCCAACTTAGCGACTTTGTCGCTATTTCTAACAGCTTTTCAGATCCCCTTCTTGACTTTTTAAATCTTAAAAGTACCTAACAAACACCTCAGAAACATCTCTGGTAACCCTTAGCTACTTTCTGGATAACTGTCGTCGACGTTTCCTGCAGGTTAGCTAAACACTCCGGACCGTTCTTCACAACATTAGGAAAGGGAATGATGCAGTGATGTGTCAGTCGCTAAAGAAACAGCTCTCGGAGCCGGCTCCCTGTTGGATTAACCAGAGTGAGTGACACACACCGCACCTGCGGACTCCTGAGCTGCTAAAAACAGCTAAATGTGCGCGTGCGGCGTGCTAAACACACGTGCAGCTTGCCCCGATTGCTGAGACCGGGTTGGGGGGTGGGGGGTGCAGCAGTGGTTGGGACAATTATTACATTAACTGATGGACTTGTAAATAAATAGTTTATAAATAAGGTAGAAATAAGTTCCTCATGCTGATAAATAATAACTAATCTCTCTGAGGACACGGTGCTAGTGCTCTCTCCTACAGCACCTTGACACGACTCAATAAATGTTATGCAACATTTTGTGAACATCAATTTATTTGCATTCATTTGTTATAAATGCCACTGTATAATTCTTGCTGTCAGTATTTGCAAGATATTGGTATTTGGGTCTGTACTGGTTAGACTTAAATGAGTTAAACCAAGGTCTATAGCCCTTGGGTCATAAACTAGGAGCTATAAGTATATTGGTCTTTATATACTGGGAATCAGGATTTCTTTTAGTGATCATCTTGTTTCTTATTTATTTTTGTCCTGATTGTGCCCTGAGCAATTTTATGACTCAATAAAAACAAATAAAATCAACATAAATAGAAAAATCGTCCTAAATAATCGAGATCTCAATTTCAGTCACCATAATCGTGATTATTATTTTTGCCATAATCGAGCAGCCCTATCTTCAGCGCATACCTGACACACTTACGATCACTCAGCCACATTGTGTCAAAAGGGTGTGTGTGTGTGTGTGTGTGTGTGTGTGTGTGTGTGTGTGTGTGTGTGTGTGTGCGCGTGCAAGCGTTGGTGTGTGTGAGCTTCTCCGATGAGAATCAGTCTCACTGTCAAACTATTCAGGTGTGTCCGATAGCAGCACAAAAGGGCATTGAGTTGAGTTGTGTCCTGCACGAGGAAGCCAAATGTCAGGTGATGTTTTATATTCAAGTGACCATGAGAAAACAAATGAGAAGGACGTAGGCAGGAAGTTAAATCTGCGCTACAGATAACACATTGGCACAGGGAGCAGGAACATACGGAGCAGTGCTTTGAGATAATGCTAACAGATGGCGGCTAATAGAAAACTTCCATACATTTCCTGTTTTAATTTCAATGCAACATCTAACTTCTATGTGATTACATGAGATGCTGAGCTGATAAACAGCATGGAGACACGATAGCAGATGGCAGCTAACGATACTTAACTACTTCCCTTCTCTCATTGTTAAGATTTTAATAAAGTTATATGGAAATGTCTGTTTTCATATTGTCCCTTAAGGTGACCAAGCATCTTATTATTTGTCTCATCTTGGGTTTTTATTTGAAGTGGTCCTTTAGTAGAGGTTTACTGTTCTAATTCCTTCTGTTTGATGAGCAAATTGGGAAATACTACAGTCATTTAGCTCTACTGGAACTGGAACGCTGCTGGATGTTACAAACCCAACTCTAGTAAAGTCAAACGTAGGCTGGTACACAACGAGCAACAACAGCCACATGGAACAAAGGATAAAAACCATCCATGCCCCATTCTCAACCCAGGAAAGCATAAAAATGCACATAAACTGGTGCTGCATTATAGGACACTTAACACAGTGGTTCCCAACCTTTTTCCCAAGGGATCCCGTTTTTTTCCAGTCAAATTTTTGATGACCCCCCTCCCATTCTTTCTTCCAGTACAAACATTATTAAGAAATGATAAAAGTGTTCAAGCACATTTTAATATGCTTGGATTCAATAGATAACAGTAATATGAGGCTCCAGTACAGAACAAACTCATTAACAAACCCAAACAGAGCATAATGTGCTTGACAGTTTGTATTACTTTTCTGAACACAGTT